TTGTACTGCTCCAGCTGCTCGTCGGTGAGGTTCCTGGAAAAGAAAAATTTAAAAATTGTAAAACCATAACCAAACCAAAACCCTCCCAAAACTCACCGAATCGCCGCAATGACCCGCTTCGAGTCGCCTCTCAACCTCAGTCCCAACGCCTTAATGTCCGCCACTGCGCTGTACTGCACCCCGTAGGCGGCCTTCTCCGTACTCAGAACCAACTGCCGCACATTGAGCTCCGCGAGGATAAACTCCCGCAGCGAGCCCACCTCCGCCAGCGTCTGCTCGCTGGCCGAAATGACCACCACCTCGGGCAGCGGGTACTTCAGCGGGAGGTTTCGGCGGTCTCGAAGCAGCCGCCCAAGCTCCACGACGGTTTGCATCAAGGCGACCTGCCGCTCCACCGCCTCGTCAATCAGCTCCTCGGCCACTGGGGCCAGCAGGCTGTAGTGGATGGACTCGATCTTGGTGGTGGTGGTCTTCTTCTCCTCAGTTTCCTTTTCCTTCTTCAACTTATCTCCCGGAAGCACCGGCAGCTCCACCCCGTCCACCAGCACCTGGCGCAGGTTCTGAAACATCGTCTCGGTGATGAAGGGCGTGAAGGGCGCCATCATCTCCACCAGGCCGAGGAGGACGCTGAAGAGGGTGTCCAGGGCGAGGCGGGTGTCCGCCCGGCCGGCGTCGCTGCCCTTCAGGCGGCGGCGGTTCATGCGCACGTACCAGTTGGTGAGGTTGTCGACGAATTTGACCAGGCGCGGGACTACAGTGTAGAGGCGATAANCACCAGCACCTGGCGCAGGTTCTGAAACATCGTCTCGGTGATGAAGGGCGTGAAGGGCGCCATCATCTCCACCAGGCCGAGGAGGACGCTGAAGAGGGTGTCCAGGGCGAGGCGGGTGTCCGCCCGGCCGGCGTCGCTGCCCTTCAGGCGGCGGCGGTTCATGCGCACGTACCAGTTGGTGAGGTTGTCGACGAATTTGACCAGGCGCGGGACTACAGTGTAGAGGCGATAAGCTAAAAAGTAGAAACAAAAAATTAGCAAAAAACTTCCCAAAAATAAACAAAACCACCACTTACCCTTCATCTCCGCCTTGACAAACTTAAAGAGCGACTGGGTGAAGGAGAGTATCCACCGGTCCATGATGTTCTCCGAGCGGACCAACTGCCGCCGATCAAAGATAAACTTCTCACCCTCACCACCTTCCGCCTCAAAGATGATAATGTTCTGAACTAGAAAGCGGTAGGCGTTGAACCACGGCAGGAAGACCTCCTTCAGCAGCTCCTGGACGCCCTCCTCGCGGAACTTGAGGTTCTCCGCCCGGACCACNGGAACTTGAGGTTCTCCGCGCGGACCACCGGCGAGTTGATCAGGTAGAGGCGGAGGGCGTCGGCGCCGAACTTCCTCACCACGCCCATCGGATCGGGGTAGTTCTTCTTGCTCTTGCTCATCTTCTGGCCGTCGGTGGCGAGGACGAGGCCATTGCAGATCAGGTTTCGAAAGGGCGGCTTCCCAAAGAGCATCGTCGAGAGGACGAGCAGCGTGTAGAACCAGCCTCGGGTCTGGTCCACGCCCTCGGCGATAAAGTGCGCCGGAAAGTTGTCCTCAAAGGCCTTCCGGTTTTCAAACGGGTAGTGCGACTGGGCATAGGGCATCGAGCCCGACTCGAACCAGCAGTCAAAGACCTCGGGGACGCGGCGGAGTGGCGGGTGGGCGGGGCCCCGCGCCGAGGGAATGGTAATCAGGTCGACGGTGTCGCGGTGGAGGTCGGTCAGGCCGGCCCGCCCACTCAGCGCCTCCAGCTCGGCGATGGAGCCCACGCAGACCACTTCCTCGCCATCGTCGCTCACCCACAGCGGAATGGGCGTGCCCCAGTAGCGGTTCCGCGAGATGGCCCAGTCGCGCGCCTCGCGGAGCCAGTTTCCAAAGCGCTTCTCCTTCACAAAGTCCGGTACCCAGTAGGTCTGGGCATTGGCCTCCAGCAGCTGGGCGCTGTACTGCTCCACGCGGACGAACCAACTGGGGACGGCGCGGTAGATGAGGGGCGTGTCCGAGCGCCAGCAGAAGGGGTAGGAGTGCTTCACGGTGCCGTCCTTTATGAGGCGCCCCTCCGCCTTCAGGCGCTTGATGATCGCCTTGTCCGCCTCCTTCACGTGCAGGCCCCTGTAGTCGGTAACGGGGTCTGTGAAGCGGCAGGCGCCGTCCAGGGGGCAGATGACGCGGCCGTCGCGGCGAATGACGCCCGCCTTCAGCGCCACCGCGTAGTCGTCCTCGCCGAAGAAGGGCGCGCAGTGGACGATGCCGGTGCCTGAATCGGCGGTGACGAAATCGCCCGTGGCGACGATGAAGGCACGGCCCTCCACCTCGGCGGCGTAGTCCGCAAAGTAGTCAAAGATGGGGCGGTAGCGGGTGCCGGCGAGCGTGGCGCCCGGGAAGCGCTCCAAAACCTCGCACTCTTCGGCCAGTGTCTCCGGGGTGGCGGCCTTCTTTCCGTAGAGGACCTCCAGGCGGGCTTCCATGAGGATGTACAGCTGGCCGCTCTTCAGGTCGCGAATTTTGACGTAGGTGAGCGTGGGATTCACAGAGAGAAGGAGGTTGCTGGGCAGCGTCCAGGGGGTGGTCGTCCAGGCGAGGAAGGAGACCTCCTCGGGCGAGCTGTCCACCAGCGGAAAGGTGACCACGACGGCCGGGTCGACGACGTCCTTGTAATTTTGGCCGGACTCAAAGTTGGAGAGCGGGGTGGTGCAGGCGCTGGAGTAGGGCATCACCTTGACGCCCTTGTAGACGAGGCCCTTGGTGAAGAGCGTCTTGAAGACCCACCAGACGGACTCCATGAAGGCGGGGTAGAGCGTCTTGTAGTCATTTTTGAAGTCGACCCAGCGGCCGAGGCGGCCGATGATCGCCTCCCAGTCGGCCGCATAGCGCATCACAATCGCCCGGCACTCGTCGTTGTAGGCCTTGATGCCCATGGCGGCGACGTCCTCCGGCCCCCTGATGCCCAGCTTCTTGTCGATTTCGAACTCGACCNAGCGCATCACAATCGCCCGGCACTCGTCGTTGTAGGCCTTGATGCCCATGGCGGCGACGTCCTCCGGCCCCCGGATGCCCAGCTTCTTGTCGATTTCGAACTCCACGGGCAGGCCGTGGGTGTCCCAGCCGAAGCGGCGCTCCACGTGGTAGCCGGACATGTGGGCGAACCGGGGGACGATGTCCTTGATCGTCCCCGCGAGGATGTGCCCGTAGTGGGGGAGGCCGGTGGCGAAGGGGGGTCCGTCGAAGAAGACGTACCGGGGGCGGTTGGCGGCCGCCGACTGGGCGGTGCTGGTGGCGAAGGCGTCCAGGCGCTGCCAGAGCGCGTAGACGCGGTCCTCCTCCGCCGCAAAGTCGATCTTCTCGGGTACGGCGGTGACCATGGTTTCAATGCTGTTGTGTGCTCTAAATTGTCGTTGTTGTTGTAGTTGGAGATTTGCTGCTCAAAGAGATCTCCGGGGCTTTGGCTTCATCCGCGGCAAACAGGAAGGGGGTTTCGCAATGACGGCAGCCAACTGAGCGCCAACTTTATAGAGAGTACAAGAGCGAGAGAATCTGTGGGAAAAAAAGTAGTAAAGGCAATCAGCGTCAGAGTTTGCATCAGCCAAGCTATAAAGCTGGATCGGTTGCAATATGTGTGTTTACCACTACTACTGCTGCTTACACCGGCGCCTGTTGTCGTCGTCGTCGTCGGTTGTTTGTTGGCTGGTGAGATGAGCTGTTTGAAGAAGACGATAAAGACGTTGAGAGCGATGGAAAGAGATAAGAAGAGGTGGTCTGCAGACAGATCAACCGAAGAAGAAGCAGAAGACACAATCTTGCAATTGTCGCCCGTTCTGATGCAAAAACACGCGTGCTACTGCTGCTGCTGCTGCTGCTGCAGAAGACGGCGGCGACCACGGTGGCATCAAAAGCAGCGGCAGCAGCTCTCCTTCTCTTACATAGTGCAAGAAACCGCAGTCACGTGACCACCGCCGACTGCTAACCGCAGAGTACGTGCTCAGGGTTTGGGATTGGCGGCGCCGGTAGCTTACTCACTGCCACCACCTCATATGAGATCACCAAGAGTGACCAGAAGATAAGAGAAACGAGAGGAACTCAAATATCATACACTTTAATTTGGCTCAGCCAGCCAGCAAGTCAGTCAGTCATCGTTGTAGAGCGACCAGACGGAGATGGACTTGTCGCGCGAGGCGGCAAAGAGAAGCGAGCCCTCTGAGTTGTGATTTGAGGAGGAAAGGCTGCCGCCGCCAAATCGAACCGCCTCGATGGTGTTGGCGTGGTAGGCGAGGACGGCCAGCGGCTTGCCGGTGCGCAGGCCAAAGAGCCGCAGGCGGCCGTCCTTGCCGCCGGTGGCGAAGATGCGGCCATCGGGGCGGATGGCCGCGCAGAGGATGCCCGCGTTGGTCAGGCGGATGCGCCTCGATCGTCGCTCCACCAGGCCCAGCTGTTTGTCCTTCTTCTCGTCGCCACCTTCTTCACCTTCGCCTAATCTCCTCCTCCTCCAGGAAGAGTCCTCGGCGGTCCTCACCTCCCAAATGGCAATCTCGTTGTCCACCGAGCAGGCGACGCCCCGGCTGGTGCCCTCGTGAAAGGCAATGCAGGTGACCATCTCGGCGTGAGACTGCAGCCCGGACGTCTGCACCGCCTCAAAGACTGGCTGCTGCTGAGCTGATAATGATTTCTGCCTCGTTGCCGATGCCTTTTCGAACAGCGTCTGCAGGTGCTCCTTAAAGGTGGCCCGGTACAGCTCGATGAAGCCGTCCTCGTAGGCGAGCAGCAGGTAAAGTGCCTGCCTCGCCGGCTCATCATCTTCAGCTCCCGAAGAAGCAATGTCCTTGATGAAGAGGTGAAGTGCCATGACGATGCCGTGGCCTTTCTCCTCCTCCTCATCCTTCTCTGCCTTGGAGACCAATTTGACCCTGCAAAAGGGAAGACACCGCTTGCTGTTGACCAGCTGAATGACGTCCGCCCCCTTCGAAGCGCCACTTCTACTTGGAGACTCTTCCTCGGCCAGAAAGGCGTAGCAGTGCTCAAAGAGGGGAAAGAACTGGGCAAAGGTCGTGGAGAAGGTGGTCCAGGGCCGCTCGGATAGGAGTGATACCGGGTGGCGAAGGCTGGACCGGAAGTCGAGGAGGAAGAGCTCATTGGACTTGAGCTGCAGGAGGAGGCGGCCGGCGCGGGCGTGCAGCGAGGTAATTCGAACTGGATCGCCCGGCTGAATTGGCTGATTTAGCTCCAGCAGGGTGGCCAGCTCTTCGGGGCTGAAGCGGTGAAGGCAGCGGTAGGTGCGCAGCGACCAGAGGCTGAGCGAGCCATCGTTGGTGCCGCAGAGAAGGACCGGCTCGTCGTCGTCGTTGTCATCTTTGGTGATCTTATCAACATCGGTCGACGATGATGAAGAAGTTGAAATCGAAGCGGAGGTGATCTGCCCGGCGGTGGTCACCTCCATCGCCGTGGTGTACGAGCCCGAGTGCACGTCGGCGATGACAAAGACGGGCTTTGGAATGGTGGTGGTCATTCTGGGGAGACTTGAAAACAGCAGAAGAACTTCTACAAGAAAGAATATTCTTGAACTTCCACTTTCACACGTGATTTTGTTTGTTTGTGTGTTTTCAAAACAGTGCACACTGCGTCACGCTCTCTGTGGCCGGACCGCCGCCGCCGCTTTGTTTCGTCAGCTGTTGTTGATTTTCAGTGCTTGTGTTAGTGCCTAAAGTGCAAATTCATTGCTGTGCGCGCTGTCAATCCGCTTTGCTTTGCCTTGTCGTCGACTGAAACTTCTCTACTTCTTCGTCTTCACCGGTCCAAATCCGTTCCAAAAGGCTCTAACCACACCCACCCGACGGAAAGATGGCTTCCAGCACCGTCAATGACGCCGTGGCGCTCTACAAGATGCTCAAGACGGAGTGGGACCGTCCGGCGCACAGTCTGGAGAAGTGCGAGGGCCTCCTCGCCAAGCTGAAGATCTACCTGACGAAGCTCTCCTTCCTGCCGATCCTCAGCTCCGGCGAGGGCCTCTCCAAGCAGGAGCTGGTCATCGCTCGAGATGTGCTGGAGATCGGTGCCCTCCATTCGNGGCGCTCTACAAGATGCTCAAGACGGAGTGGGACCGTCCGGCGCACAGTCTGGAGAAGTGCGAGGGCCTCCTCGCCAAGCTGAAGATCTACCTGACGAAGCTCTCCTTCCTGCCCATCCTCAGCTCCGGCGAAGGCCTCTCCAAGCAGGAGCTGGTCATCGCTCGCGATGTGCTGGAGATCGGCGCCCTTCACTCAATCGAAACGAAGGACAACGCCTCATTTGAGCGCTACTTGGCGCAGCTGAAGTGCTACTACTTTGACTACAGGTTGGTGCTTTGAACCTTTGATGACCTTTTCCTAATTTTGTTTTTGAACACCTTTACCAGCTCCGAACTGCCCGAATCGGCCTACAAGTACCAGCTGCTGGGGCTCAACTTGCTCTGTCTGCTCTCGCAGAACCGAGTCTCCGAGTTTCACACGGTAAGCTGCCTGTTTTGCACCCCTTTTTCTGCCCTAAACTAACGTCCTTTTTTCGTTCTTTTTCATCATCAGGAGCTGGAGCTGCTGCCGTTGTCCGAGATCAAGAACAACGTCTACATTCGCCACCCGGTCTCGCTGGAGCAGTACCTGATGGAGGGCAGCTACAATAAGATCTTCCTCTCGAAGGGCAACGTCCCCTCGAAGTACTACACCTACTTCATCGACCTCCTGCTGGACACCATTCGCGTCGACATTGGCGGCTGCATTGAGAAGGCCTACGAGCGCATCAGCGAGACCGAGGCCGCCCGGCTGCTGTTCTTTGAGCCCGGCAAACCAGGCCTGGCCGAGTACGCCGCCCGGCGCAAGTGGACGCTGAACGGCAAGCGCGAGTACAACTTCAACGACGCCGCGAAGAGCAATTCGAACCAGCCCGGTCAGCACAAGAAGGTGCCCGCCGACGCCATTGCCCTCCAGGTGCTCGACTACGCCCGCGAGCTGGAGATGATCGTCTAAGAGGCGGAAGGCGGAGGAGGAGTTCGCAAGTTAATTTACCCTATTTCCCCCCCTTCAAAACTCTGTACAATACCTAACTTTCAAGCAAAATCTTTAACATGCTCTTTCTACTTTACTAAGCAAAGTAGTGCCTCAGTAGGACTCGAAGAGCCAGAGTCTACTGGGAGTTCTATTATCTTTCTCGGTATCCCGCTGTGCTGAGCAGTGTTCCTGCCTCTTTCTCTCGCTCTCTCTCTCTCTCTCCTCACACTCTAAAGTAGTGTTATCTACTGTGTGTTCACTGCTGAGGGCCATTAGAGGGGTCAACAGGTTTTCCAGCGGTTCAGAAGAACATGCTTTAAAAGCACGTGCCCATGACGACGGCAGTTTTGGCAGTTTTGGTCCTTGTTTCTGCAGCTTAACGTTTACTTTCATCATCTTCTTCTGACCACCACCACAACATGCGACTTCAAGACCTCTCCGACCTGTGCATCAACTACATCGCCGACGCCTCTTCAGCGAGAAACCTCTTCGAACTGGACGAGGTGTACGCCGCCTGGGCGCACGTTCAGCGAGTGTCGGCGGCCAAACGTACCCGCCTGGAGCTGTACTTTGGCGGCAAGGGCGATGGCCCCCCCCCGGCTACCGACGCCTTGCCACCTGCATCTTTCCCGTCACGCAGAGCCTGGGAATTGACCACCGGCACTACCGGCACTACCTCCTGGTGGGCACTGCCCTCGAGGACGAGCAATACTTCTTCGGCAAGCTGAGCACCCTCTTTGTGAACATCACCCACCTGGACGTGTCCATCAGCGGCGACAGCACCTCTACAAATTCGAAGCAGCAGCAAAACTTAGGTTCTAAATCNTACTTCTTCGGCAAGCTGAGCACCCTCTTTGTGAACATCACCCACCTGGACGTGTCCATCAGCGGCGACAGCACCTCTACAAATTCGAAGCAGCAGCAAAACTTAGGTTCTAAATCAGCTCCTTCGGTGGACAGTGTGAAGGTGAAACACCTCTTGAATTACCTGCAACTGCTCGCCCCTAAACTCGAGTGCCTCTCCATCGAGGTGAAGGCGTACAGCCGAGAAGAGGATGATGACAAAGCGCATTTTAGAACTGCTCCCGAGCTGGAGCTGCTGCGCCTCATCGACCAGCGCCTGCTCCGCCTGCGACGCCTGCTCTTCTACAGCGAAAATCGCATCCTCGCCCTGCCCCGGGGCGCCAGCCAGCTGTTGCAGCTCATCCAGCGCTTTGACCAGCACACCAGCATGTCCTTCATCTCCCGCCTGGAGGCGCTGTACTTCCGCTCGGAGGACGACTTTGCCTGCATCGCCCCCGCCCTGCACCAGTTCGCCGCGCCCAGCCAGCGGCTCCAGGAGCTGGGCCTGGTCTGCGCGGCGCCCGTCCTCCAGGGCTGGGAGGCGCTGGTGACCATGGCAGCGCCCGGGTGGCAGGCCTTCTCCTCGAAGCTTCGCATCGCCCAGGTGGACGCCACGGCGATGGCCGACTTCAACCAGCTGCTCATCCTCCTGTCGACCACCTTT